CAGTCACGAAAGGGTTAAACACTTTCAAAGTAAGCCCACAGTATATCCAGCCGGCTTTCTGCCCACTGTAAAATACTTCTACACATCCCCTTCGACTTGGTTATGTCTCGAACGGGTAGTCTGTGTGTGATTTTCATAATGTCTCAGGTCGTAACAGCAGCACGCATTAGATTCATCAGTTTTTTTTGTGTGGCTACAAAAGAATTAGGTAGTGTAGTGTGTTTGTACCTTATCCACACCGGAGACTGCTGGCGGCTCCTCCCCAACGTTGCGGTGTCGCCCCGGACTTGTGGGCGGGGATGAATCCGCCAAATAGTCCCTAAGATCAAACATGTTGTAGAGTTCGTGCATCTTGTTAAAGGCGTTGCAGCCTTCAGTGTCATGGGGTAAGCTCACCTCCCCCTCATCGCGAAGGGTGCCCTTGGCCGCTTGTGCAGCAGCATCATCATCACCCGCAGTAGATGCGGAGCCACCGTTACGGGACGAAGTCCAAGCGCCTTCACCGCCGTTTGGGGCACCACCACCGCCACTGCTACTGCCGCGGCTACTTCGCCTCGTTGCCATAGCTTTGTGGGAAAAGGTGTATAACCTAGGTGTGTGCGCTGCTACGCTACTGGCTGTGGTGCACCACCAACTTTTGCTGGAGAGGGGGGGGGGGGGGGGGTAAAAAAAATACATTTTTTTGAACGCCCCCCCCCCCCTGTAAACACAAACGGCTCTTATCTGCTGTGCTCTAGCTCCTCTCTCCGGTTACGGCTCCTATAAAATCTGTTGTGCGAGAAGTGTTAACATCTCGTTTTCGGGATGGTGGATCGCGCGACGAGGCGATATGAACCACCATCACCTGTCGACGGCAACGAACGGTGGTAGTATTGTTCCCTGACCCTGTGGGTGCCGATACCCTGTCGTGGCTAGAATTCGTGACACTGAGGACCATACGACATCCCCAAGGTTTTACTTACTTACTACGTGACCCTGTGGATAACGTAACACTGGCAAGGTTCCCCGAAATACCCTGTCGAATTGTGAAGACGGCATGGTGTGTTCCTTCACCGACCCTGTGGGTATCGGTACCCTGTCAAGGCGATAATATGTGACCCTGTGGATTATCAATACCCCCAAGGTTTAACTTTTGTGACGCTACTACTGCGGATGACGTACACTGCCAAGGTGAACAAAGAAACGATTCTGTGGATTTTTCAAGCCCCAAATAAATGGTGTGTTGCTTCACCGACCCTGCGGATATCCGCGGGTATCGACACCCTGTCACGGCGATAATTTGTAACCCTGTGGACTACACGGTATCCCCAAGGTCAGGGTTTCGTGACCCTGCGGATGACGAAACACTGGCAAGGTGCACACAATGACCCTCCTGTAGAACTTTCAAGCCCCACATGGTGTGTTCCTTCACCGACGACCCTGTGGGTATGGGCACCCTGTCATGGCGAGAGCCTGTAAACCTGTGGACCACACGGTATCCCCAAGGTCAAGTTTGGTGACCCTGCGGATGACGCAACCCTGGCAAGGTGCACCGAATGACCCTGTAGAACTTTCAAGCCCCGCAGGGTGTACTCCTTCACCGACCCTGTGGGTAACGAACCCCTGTCATGGTGAGCACGTGGCACTCTGTAGACTATACGATATCCCCAAGGTCGGTTTTTCGTCACCCTGCGGACGACCCCACCCTGGCAAGGTTCACCGAATGACCCTGTAGAATTATCAACCCCCACATGGCGTTTTTCTTCACCGACCCTGTGGGTATCGGCACCCTGTCGTGGCGAGAGCTTGTAACCCTGGGGACCACACGATATCACCAAAGTTTAACTTTCGTGACGCTGCGGATGACGCCCCCCTGGCAAGGTTCATTGAATGACCCTGTAGAACTTTCAAGCCCCGCAGGGCGTTTTCCTTCGCCGACCCTGTGGGTACCGAAACCCTGTCATCGTGAGCACGTGGCACCCTGTGGACTATACGATATCCCCAAGGTCAGGTTTTCGTGACCCTGCGGATGTCCCCACCCTGGCAAGGTTCACCGAATGACCCTGTAGAATTTTCAACCCCCACATACTGTACTACGTCGCCGACCCTGTGGGTACCGAAACCCTGTCATGGTGAGCACATGGTACCCTGTGGACCACACGATACCCCCAAGGTCAGGTTTTCGTGACACTGCGGATGAGGCAACCCTGGCAAGGTGAACCGAAAGACCCTGTAGAACTTCCAAGACCTACATGGTGTGTTCGTTTACCGACCTTGCGGGTATCGGCACCCTGTCATGGCGATAGCTTTTAACCCTGTGGACCATACGATATCCCCAAGGTCGGGTTTTGGTGACCCTGCGGATGACGTAACCCTGGCAAGGTTCACCGAATGACCCTGTGGAACTTTCCAGACCCACATGGTGTGTTTCTTCGTCGACCCTGGGGGTACCCTAACCCTGTCATTGTTGACCCAGTGACCCTGGCAATATTTTTTACCTCGACAGGGTACCCACAGGGTCAGCTACAGGGTGAAACCCTGCACAGGATGTCCACAGCCCTGAGCAAAGTGGCCACCGGTGTAGTTACTACTACTACTACTACTGCTGCTCTTCTTGTTTCCTTTGAATTTTTTTCTCTTTTTCTCTGTTTTCTCTTTTCTCTCTCTTCTTTGCCAGATGGCCTTGTCTCTACTTGCGTTGTGAAGTACCAAGATTGAACCAAGGGGGTGTACCTCTTTCTCTCCGGCCCGTGATATTGACTCCTAGTCTCAGTTGAAACCTCGCATAGCGCGCAGAGAGAGTGGTTGACTCCAGAATAATATCTGTCGTTGATTCCTGTTGACTTGCGACCCCTCGGGACCAGTTTATTTGAGCGTACTTTTTTAGGCAAAGTTAACCTGTGACCACGGGAATCGACCGCGTCGAGTGTTGGATCAGTACGGACATATGAAGGTACTGGGTAGAGAGAGATCGGAACGGTTTAGACAACAACAACAACAACAACAACATGTGTGAATGTGAATTACGCACGACCGACGGAACGTCAGTAATCCATCCGCACGGCCCTACCCCTCGCTCGAGCGGTCTGCGTTCCCCCTGTACAAATAACGCAAGTTGAATGGAGGAGCGCCAGCACTCCACCGCAGCACTCGGGCGGGGGCGGACAGTGGGAGAGAGGATAGCACGGTGAAACAGAGGGAGGTGGATGGTCACAAGAGAGGTGAGGACTTGCCTGTAGCTTTTTCCAAGCTTGTTCTCCTGTATACGTTGTGCTGATCGACTTGGTTCTTCCGCAAGCCCATTATCCCATTATCCATGGGTACAAAGTTTCGTTCCCCTCGGTGTTCCTCCGCTCAAGGTCGGGGAACACACGGCCCGCCGACCGCCAACGCCGTGCCGTAGTCCAAATGGTGAACCCTTTGGGTAATGCACATGTGGTTGTTGAAGCGGTTGTGGCCAGGACTATCTGCGGATCTGGGCCCCAATCTTGCTCAAAGACGTGAACCCAAAGTCGTCCGGGCGCCGCCCTCTGCATATGTGTACAATACATGTGTACGCGCTTACCCCTGGTGGGAAGGAGTAAACCGTCTCGAAACTTCTTCATACCATGGAGAAATCGCCGGGTCGCAGACATCGGCGCCTTGATGTGATTGCGACAGCAGTGTCTAGGGTCCAAGACCGCTTGGAATCGAGGCGCTCTAGCTGTCCGCCATGAGGATCAAATACGTAGCATACGTATGGCACGTACAGTAGCAGGATCTCCATTCAACTCTCTGTTTCCAAGTGGAGATACCGCGGTAGAACGACCACAGGGTGTTACTGGTTTCCCCTGTACCCCTCCTGTTCACAAGTCTTCACAATCACCTTGCATGTACATCATGCAGTCCAGATTCCAACCAGCCGGCACTGCACGGGCTGAATCGCACACTTGGACAATATGGGCAGAACATGCGGAACGACTCCTGCTTCTTATCATGACGTCATGACATGGCGTTTGACAACGACGAATACTGGAGTAACAAATAAATAACCAGTACAATTCATTTGCAGCAGCCGGAAACTGACCTGCGTTGAACACTACCTCTGCTCACTCGCTAAAGCCTACAATACTGGTACGGAGTATCACTGGTAATACTGAGTGTATATCCTAGGCTAGGCTTTCAGACTCCAAACAAGCCTGCCGCTACCGTTGAAATCATCGGTGAAAAATGGCGTGTACATCCCGGCTCGGCTCGGCAGCATTTCCGCGTCTAATTTTCTTTTCAATATTACGTGGGATAAATCAGCGGCATAGCGCGCCCTGAGCGGTCAGTGATGCGACTTCGTCGCCAGAAGGAAGGATCGTTGATGTTCTCTATCGTTTACTTGCATTCACGCGGAAGCGGAACGTTTTTTTTTTTTTTGCCGTAGAAACCTCCCTTGCTTCCTGTCTCCTGTGGCCAACATTGCTCTTTTTGGGCCTCTTCACCTATATAAGATAGGCCTCTCACCCTAAGCAACTGAAACAAACGTTTTGAAACTTGCTCGGCTATTCCAAACTTCAGCATGCTCTCTGGTTTATGCCAGTCAACATTGTGGAGCTGCGCGATACGCCACTGGTGTGACAAGCGACCGCATCACCTGTCGGGGAAACATGACTGCGCTTCGTTCTTTGCCGTGCGTGATGCTGAAGATGACAGCTTCGCCAATCTTTGCCCAATGACTGCCTCTCAGAAAAGAGTGTCTATGAAGTCTCTTCCAGGTTTGAACTTTAATTCCGCAAAATCCGGGGGTTATATCACCCGGGGGCGGGGGTTGTTTCCGGCGTGCCGCGGTCAATATCCACCATTTCTGTCTTCGTTGAGGACGTCCATTCATGCATTGTTGTGTGTCGTGTAGGTCCTTTGTTTCTTGTCGCGACTGCTTCAATTGAGCATTACGCTGAAACGAATTGCAAGACCTTTGAAATGTGTGCCGCCCCCCTCTTCTCGTGTTGCTTGCCGTCGCAAAAGGTCTGAAAACGAGCGACATGTTTTGCTTCATGGAGGGTGACGCCGGTTCGGGATCGGCAAGGCCCGGTGAGCAAGAGCAATGCTGTTGCGGGAGTCGCGTTTTGCTTTTTGTCCTTCCTCATGCCGAGAGGGTTCGAGTAAGACAAAACCGCCATGCGCATGTTATCTCAAGTCTTCCGTTCAATCATACGTACTCCTACGGTTCTGTGAGCGATCTCCGCGTGATATGTGTGTAGCTGGACCTCTCGTCGGGAGCGCTGCTGAATTCTGCTCTCCGAAATGGTTCGTTTGTGAACGATCGTCGTTTGCATGCAATTTCGCCCCCAATCCCCAGACCTGGCCGTTTTTTTCGAGGTAACTGAGATATCGACGTCTCGTTTCTATCAGGGAGTAGGCTCACCAAGTGCGCTTTGGTGTTTCCGTGTCAGTTTGCTCGCATTCTTCACATGGCTTGACGGTAATCTGATGGGCTGCCTTTGCGGTCGTTGTGGGTTGAAATGCAACTGGACCCGATCAATGACGTATCCCCTTTTACCCCAGCTACTGTATACAATAACCAAGAATGTTCTCCAAGTGTTTCCTTGGTGTTGTTCCTCGCCGTCAATCATTTCGATGAATGTGTGATGTGCATTTGGATAGTGTTGGACTTACAGCTCTACTCCAACATCAGAACAAGCATTCAGTAATCATCCTGAACATCCTGAACAACTAAAGTTCTGGAGCCACGACCAACTATTATGTTTGGGCCATCATGCAGGGCATACCATGTATGGAGCAAGTGCTTTAGGCTATTTCAAACGCGAGATATGAACCCTCAAAGCGCCAATACATGTCCTCTGGGCCATGTCCAGGAACCATGTACGGGTAAGAGCCGTTCAAGCAAATCGTTGTGTTTGAGAGTATCCAGTAAGGCAAATCGGAGGCGACGATCAATTCGTTCCCCGAAGCCGGCGCAATGGTCTCCCACAACACGGACAAATCGACGATTCCGCAGATGAATGGGGCGCGGCCGTCGCGAAAGGCGACGCGACCAAGCTGGCCAAACTGGTACTTCTCTGGTCCGGTTCAAAACCCGAGCGGGCGCTCTCGATCCTCGAAAACTGCGTCTCTTTGCTGGAGGAGGTTTTGGAAGAGGTTGAACCTTCCGATCCGACCCCTTCTCCCCTTCCGCCGCCCCCGACAGACCGTGGTGGGTGCCTCGTAGCTTGTGAATTGCGTGACCAAGCTGAGGAGACGCCCTAAGTCTTGCTTGCCGGGTGGTCGGGAATGCTTCGTGCGAACCGCTGCGTTGCCTGGCAGTATAGCTTACAGAGGTTTGGGCAGAGGCTGTTGACTGTCTTGGATTGACAGCTCTGTGACGAGTATACCGGATGTTGTTTTGCTTGGAAGCGCATGACATGCGCATCGCTCGATCAAGCCCCTTGTTGGTTGGGTCAGGGACCAGAATTCGGGAGCGACATTCATGGAACACCATGCATTTTCTCGTGACACGCGTGGCACGTCTGATCATGGAGTCCTAGTTTTGCGAAGCATGTCCTCACGGCCGTATCGAGGGGAAACATTCGTGTTGAAGACGCCTTCGCTCCTCGGATATATTGAGCAGGGCTCATGCCCAACCTTGAATTCAGGCTGCGACCGATAGGAAAACATCGAAATATCTTTGGTAACACCGGCGAATTGACGATTCCGCAGATGCATGGGGTTCGGCCGTGGCGAGCGGCGATGCGACCGGGCTAGCTGAGCTGGTGCTGCTTTGGTGCGGAGTATTGCCCCACCCGGCTTTGTCTATTCTTAGACGCTGCGTCGCTGTGCTGGAGAAGGAGGTTGCGCTTTCAGCTCCGACATCTTCTCCTCTTCCTTCGCCCCAGACTTCGCGTGGTGGGTGCCATGTTTGCTTTCGGAGTTGTTAAATTGTATGAACTCTCATTGATTTGAGGAGAGGCTGAAAATCTCCGTTGCCTAGTGGTTGGCAACATTGTTTACGTGAGCCTACGTGGACTTGAGGCGGCAGGAGATTTGGGCAGATCGTGCCTTCACACCGGTCCTAAATGTTGACAGCGTCTTCTGAGTTGAACCTTGACGTTTTGTCCCAGTATTGTACAGGTTCATCTTGGTCTGTCTGAACTTGTTTTACCTCCCGGCACGGGGGGAGATGTTGTTCTGGGTAAAAGGTGTGCGCTGTGTTTTTGGATGGTCGTTTCTTTCTCGGTCGAGCTGTTCAAGACGCAACGACCACTCTGGTCCAAAGAATTGTCCAGGTGTAATATGCTGAGCATGGCGCCCTCGCCAAAGGCCTCGCTGCCCCCAGCTGTATCACCGCAACACTGCAAGTAGTTCGGCGAAGGTCGTCCTGGGTGCAAGAACGGGGGACGGTGGCCACGTTCTTGTGCACACGGAAAACAATGAGGTTCCATGCTTTTCCAACGTCAAAATTCACAACATCCCGTCCGCTGATGACAATTTGTGTCCGGCCGGTTTTGTGCTCGAAGTGACAACACTTGGCCGTTGACACGTGCTGGCCAAGACGGGATGGAAGATTCGACGATGGAAAACCTGAAAGTAATCGTCGTAGGCAGATCTTAAACAAAAATGAGACTCCGCCCCGCCTGAGATACCTTCCCTTTGTTACCCTGTATAAAAGCTCATATGGGATCCGGCTTCGATACCTTCGAGTGTTCCCATGAAGAAGTTCTGGGGCATCCTTCTCGCCTCTATTTTTGGCATTATTGTAGCAACTACCACAGTAGGTTGCTGGCTGACACAGCCTCCTGTCACCGTTTCCCCGTAAAAGATGGGCTGTTGTGTCCCCTTAATGTCGTAACACCAGAATCCCTGCAGTCGATTTCCTCGACAGTTGTTTATAGTGCAACAACTTAGAATATGGTTGTGTTTACAAATTCCGTGCCTCAGCCTCGTCATGGCCTCCCCACCAATAGGTGTCCGTTCGGAACCTTTCCAGAAGGTTAGCTAACCGTTGATTGATTGTCTTATGGCTCGGCAAAAAAAGGCAGGCATCGATGCGCTTTTGGAATCTGTTGGGTATGGCAAATTTCGCGGATTCTCGTCCTGTGGCTTCATGGCCTCTGAGGAGTTTTAGATTCTCCTTCAACGGACCGATGTTTAGCAGAACTCGTCGATTTAAAGTCATAGATTTTTTGCACGCCGACACGCCATGCTTATTTCCTCAGGACCCACTCGCAACTCGTGCTTGAACGCCCTGACGGTTGCTTTGAACGAGACTTGCGACGGGAAGAGTTGGTACACGTCCACGAAGGAGCTGCAGCTGGCGTCCTTGGAGTTCTGCATGGCGTGCAGAAACCATCAGACGTTGCACTTGAATGTCGACGCAAAGACTCCACGCAGGCTGCTAGCCGCTGCGGATGCACCCCCCACTCATCAGACGAGCCTGGCTTGCACACGCGTGCCACGAGTTAGAGCTCGCTGCTTGACGTGGGACATAACGACAGCAGCGGAATTGAGGATCCCGATCTTCGCAATGACGGGCGTGGACTGCCTGGAGTTCGGCAACGACTTTGGGGGCAGCCTTGAGGCTGTGGCATGGCCGCGACGGCTGAAAAGGATTGAGTTCTGCTCTTCTTCACCGTTTAACCGGCCTATCGACCAGGTCGAATGGCCAGAATCCCTGCAGACGCTTTTATTCGGTCTGAGTTTCAACCAGCCGATTAAGGCAGTCCGTTGGCCGGCATGCCTGCAGAGGCTTGTGCTTGGTACGAGTTTCGATCAACCGATTGATGGAGTCGAGTGGCCGGCATCGCTGCAGGAATTGACGTTCGGGTTCGCTTTCGACCAGCCCATTGAGGAAGTGTCCTGGCCAGATTCGCTGCGGGAGCTAAATTTTGGATTTAAGTTCAACCAACCTCTTCAGGGAGCAGTATGGCCAGGCTCGCTGAAGAAGCTCGACCTCGGAGATAAGTTAGACCAGCCCATTGCTCAAGTTGAATGGCCGGATTCGCTGAAGAAGCTGAGGATCGGACATTATTTTAATCAGCCAGTTGTGGGAATTTCATGGCCAGATTCGCTGCAGACCCTTAGTTTCGGAAATTGCTTCAACCAACCAATCAAGGAAATCTGTTGGCCGGCATCGCTTCGGGATCTAACGGTAGGGCGAAACTTCAACCAACCAATCAAGGACGTTCGTTGGCCAGATTCGCTGCAGACGCTCAGCTTCGGAGAGTTCTTCAACCAACCAATCAAGCAAGTCTCTTGGCCGGCGTCGCTTCGGGAACTCACTGTCGGGCGAAATTTCAACCAGAACACTGCAGGAGCGAGGTGGCCGCCTGGGTTGGTTCGAAGGGGTGCGCTATGAGTGACGACCCCGACGTCGACAAGGATTTCTTTCTATGGCCCATTGAGAGATTTAGAGCCGGTGGGCTGCTTTCAGCACATCAAACAAAGAATGCCACTAGTTTTAGCACAAATCTCACCTTGCTAAGCACAAATCTCTCCTTGCCCGTGGTCGCTGAGCAGGGAATGACCGCTGTCACCTGCTTTTGTAGGCACGCGCACACAGTGGTTGAGGCGTGTTGCGTTGGGGGAGGAACCGTTCTATTTCCATTGACGCCACACACCGACACTCGGTTGCCGCGACGGTACCTCTTGCATTGACTCAAGTGATGATTTCGTTGTCCCGATTTTTACTCCGTATTGTAATTTTTTGAATATTGTTGTGTCTTGGCGTACCGACCGGGAGTGAAAGGCATCCTTTATTTATTTTACCTATCGTTTGCCCAATATGTCACCAGGGGGCTGTCTGCTGCCTGGCGGTGGGCTTTCGGTTTATTTTCGGTTTGTTGTATTTTTTTAGTCACGTTGCTGTATTGAAGCGTTTATAGTGATTTTGTTTGTTCTTGCTTGTTTCCAAGGGTTTAAGGTTTCGAACGGTTTGAAATTTCCAAGAGTTTTGAGTTTCCAAGTTTTTTTATAGTTTAATCGGCAAAGTTTTGTGGCGGGTAATTTTCTGGATGCCATACGGCGGTAGTTTTGGGCGGTAGGCGGTATAGCGTTTAGTTGGTGGTAATGCCATTTGTTTTGGCGGCAAGATTCGGCGGTACGATTGTGTTTTCCGGGCGTAGCGACTTTGGTGGCGCGGGTGAAACCTAAACACGGCGGCCACTGTCTCGCAACCGGCGGTAGTGGTTTGGCGGTAGGCGGCATGTGTCTTGACGGCGGTAACCAATTTGGCGCAGTTGGGAAAATCGGTACCGCCCACCAGGGCCGTATTTTGCAACGGTGGTGAACTCCATATGCCCGTAAAATCAAGCGACACCAAAGAAGGTTGCAGCCGTGGCGCTAGGTTATAGCGTACGAACGGAAGGCCAAGTTCTGCTCCGACGGTAGGCCCTGTGCACGTATTTCGAAGTTTTGTCTTGGGTGTTGACCAGTGATTTCTTCACGTTTTTGCGTCAATACTCTAGGAAAAGTAAATAGAAACGTGTATGGCTATCCCCTGATACCCCCTTTGCTCACGCGGTCGATGAGCAAAGGGTACGACGAGACGAGGCCTCTGCACACTCAGCCTATCGGTTACGTCCGTTGGCGGTAGTGTAAGTAATGACTGTGACAATTTGGCGGCATCGGTTAGGCAGTATTGTGAGATGGCAAAATGGGTTTGGCGGTAATACGACTTTGGCGGAGGCGGTAAAACAACGACACGGCGTTTTTTTTTTGGCCGTAATGCCTTACGGCGGTAGCGGGTCTAGACGGTGGACGGCATTTGCGCTTTTCGTCGGTAACGAATTTGGCGGAGGGGATGAAGCAATGCATTGTCGGTAATAATGAGCGTTATTCGATTTCGTCACCGCCATAAAATTGCCAAGTAAACCTTGACTGGTTTCCATATCTGTGTGCTCTTTATTGGGTATTTGAAAAGTGACCCATGAAGGTGTCTGCGTCTCAATTGTATCGGCACGGACGTCAGAAGGTGTTCATCGCACACCGGGACAGCTAGGACATGAAGCAGCAAACAAGTTGACGCTGTACCTGGCGGGAACCGTTTTGGTCCATTCTCCGCCATTTTATGGCGACGAAGTCCGAAATATGTTCACCCTCTAGCAGGCACGCAAGGTCTCCTTCCAGTTCAGGCGGGTACTCTAGGTCGTCCTGCTGCTGCTGCTGCCGTGTGTTTGTTGGTAGACTTCCTGAGCCAACCACTGATCGAAAGCCGCTAAAACGTTCGGGTGGTGTTTCGCAATTGACGTGTATTAAACGTGGCAATAACACGAAAAAGGACGACGAGTGGATGGTTGACGTTGAAAGATCTTGGGACGCGCGGATCATGAGTTCCAGTCCCACCTCCACTCGATATTTTCAATTATTGGCCTTGTGTATCTCGTCTATTGTATTGCGTGTTTTATTCTCCGCCATTTTTCGTCCACACCGTGCAGAGAGATCCATCTCCGTGCTGGAAGAGCGAGGTCGTTGCTATTGCGCAGCAAGCGTTTTTTTTTTTTTTTCTCCATCATTGGACTCTGTCCACTGCCTCTCTCGCCCCCCCATCGTCCACTTCTACTACCTGGACGACCAAACGGGGGTCACACAGGAGGGGGGGGTTGGACCCCCTCCTGCCGTTCCTGCCTGAGATATTTTTATGGCGAGAAGGATACAGCAATCCCTCCCCTCGCGACTTACGAAGTCGATCTAGTTTACTATAGCAACGAGTTTTGTAGCGCGTCGCTTCCAACTTGACCAGGATTTATTTAGTGAGAAAAAGACCTCACTTTGCCGGGACCCGAACCTGTGACCTGGCCCTTAGCAGACTGCGAGGGTACCCACTATAGACCACCGGGGCGACCGGTGTATTTTAATGGAGCAACTAGTGTATGAGCGTTATATGATCATGACGTGGATATTGTCATATTTTCGTTAGTTGGTGTGACTAAGATTCCAACACCCGTCCTCACTCTCGACTTGTGAGCGCGGAACGCGGGCTAGGTATGAAGAGGATAAAGCATGAAATGCACAACAACAACTGTAAGTGAGCCAGCAAGGAGCAGCGGACCTGCTCCCTTCACTTTTATATCTTTGTTCCTCCATAGCATTGTGGCGTCGTCTACATAGCATTTGTATTCCTGTCCTTCTTTGGTGCACCGCAGTTCGCGATGCTCTTCTGTGCTTCTGTCCTCTTTGTTTTGTTTCAATTATTTGTTTTTACCGGCTTCAGAGGGGAGGTACATTTGCTCCCTCTGACTCATTTGTGGAGAGTCATGTGCATGTTTGTTTATATCCTTCATCTTGATGGGCTTTCGAGTCCATCCATGTACATGCGATGCGCCGCCCATGCTTTGTGGCGCTCTTCTATTTCCATGACTTGTGGGTTTTGGTGAGCGCTGTGGCCTTTCTTTCCACAACGATTCGATTGCTGGCAGGGTCGCGTCGGAACGCGGCGGTCTCTACGAAACAGCTCTGGCCTCGTCCATGCTACTTGCTTGCGATAACGTGACCTTTGCTCGTGCGAAGTGACTACCCTTTCCTTCCTATCCCTTCGGTGGCAAGCCCTGTGCTTATCTGATCATGCCATCGAAATAATGGCGATGGCATGCTGCTGCTGAGTGGCCACTTGATGGCCTGCCGTGGCATGTTGCGGTCTGCTGCACTGCATGTGCATAGGTTGTGCAATTTGGCGCAATCTATCTGACCGCGTTGCTCGCTACAGAGGAGAATCGATGAAAACAAACCGGTCGCGGGGTCTGTTTTCTGTGCACACCTCGAGGTCGAGGGAACAGCCTTGGCATTAACGCGCCCGCCTATTTCTTACGCACCCACTCGGTCGGCGAACGTCGGATAGAGAAAAGTACAGGCCCAACGACATTGTTCCAACGGAAGGACTCTTAACCCCTTTGTAATGATAACGAGGAATTTTTGTCTTGGCGTACGTGGACCAGCAACTGTTGCTCTGTCATTCTGGTATGCGACCCACCAATCGGTCCCCGCATCCACGTATTTTTAAGTCTTAGAAAATTACGACCTCTGATGCTAAGGCTGAGTCTTAGGGCGCGATTATTTCGGAGATTTTATTTCTCTCGGTCGCGGGGGGGTGGCCACGGAATTTTTTTTCAAGATCCAAACGACCGTCTTACGGCTCCTCGAGGTATATTTTTTCCATCAGAGTGCCACAGGAGAGGCCTCCTGGGTGTGATTAAATGCACTCTTCGCGTCGTCTGTGACGGCGATGACAATTCACCGGTGTCCATCAGGAGGTACAAAGCCGGGCTTCGTTGCACGGTCTGCTCAGAGGAGCTACAGTGAGAGTATTGTTTTTGTACGTCCTTGGTTTCCTGAAAATTACTGCTAAACTCCAGCATTTTGCCGCTCACACCTCATTTGGTAAAGAGCTGTGTTCCCGTTAATCTACAATAATTTCGCACATCAAGCTTGGTGCCGTATGGACGGGCTCGAGGCCTCAATGGTTTTATTCTCTGCACGGGCAGATGATTCATGTGCCTCTTTGGCGTCGAGACGGACACATGCAAGGCCATATCTCTTATTTGGAAATCTCCGACTTGGCTACATTCTTGGCAGTACCGAGCCTTACAAGCTCCAGTTGATCCCACGTGCTACTAAATTGTCCGTGGCCACCGGTGGCCGTCGGCAGGCCCTCGTCGAAATTCACGTCAACGCACACAATTGCATGCTAGGTTCAACCACAACCTGACGGACGTCAAAGTAGCATGCATCCATGACCATCCAACATTGCAGAAGTGGAACAAACAGGTCTACAATGTGAATTTAGGCTCCCATTCCGCGGCTGTTGAATTGGCGATATTGCGGTTGAGGACGTCAGTCAGATCGTGTTGAGGAAAGCAAAACATCACGCAAGTTTCAAGATTAGCCGCAGCTGACACGTACTACATTCTTTGCGGGGGCTGTCAGTCCCAAAGACCACCCACCAAAGCTGATCGCCCCCGACCCAACACTGAAAGTCGAATCGTATACTACAAGTGGAGGACATCGACAAAATGGGTAGAATAAAATCCGAAAAATATGGCATGGGTACAAGCAAACGGATGGCTCTTCATTGGAACACAAGAACGTTCGCACCCTCCTTCACAGTACTTGCCTACAATGGCGTTGCGCCACCCAACGTGATCTCTTGCACAAAAGAGGAGGACCTCCCCGCCCACAAATCGTTGTCCGAAAAGGGGTACCGTGCTTGTCCTGTTCCATCCCCAAGACTTCCTTTTTCACAGGAATGCGCCCCCCAAGTATCAAACGTCAATGGAAGGCAATGCGCACAAGAACTCTCTTCCCACACGTGCCCCAATGTACTAGCCAAAGAATCCGAAAGAAACAACAACGGCGCCTATCCTACCTGTACGCAAGTCTCCAAAGCGCAGGCTAGCTTGATCGATCATTACGCGAAAAGATGGCCACCGCTTTCACGCGGAATGCCAGCAGAACCGTTGACACAATCGTCATGTTGGCGCTACGGTGGCTCCGAACGAGCGCATTCGACGAAGCCTCACCTCTTACACACGAATCTTAACCAATATTTGGTCGGAAATTCACAACGAGAGCCCATAACCCGCCCTCTCGCCGCGCCCCCCACGAAAAAAGAACACACAGGCAAGTCTATAAGCCTCCCACCCCCGTGTGCACTACACGAGCGAGAGGGAATATATGGCAAACGATGCGTCCATCCATCGCTGTCTAAACGCGGAACGCGACAAGAGGCCTGCGTGTCGTCTTAGCGGCGCCCGGGGGAGCCTCCGTCTCGGACTCCGACTTCGACGACAACGGCGGCGGCGAGCTGGTGCGTCCCACGAACGCTGCCACGGAAGAGGCAGCGAGGTTGCGGCGGGAGCGGGAGAGGGCCGCCTGGCGGCCTTCGAACCAGCTAGCTCCCCGCTTCAATGGCGCCGGCATCTGCAAAGGAAAAAAATGATGGCACGTGTCGGTTGGGGGGGGGGGGGGGGGGCATACTCATGTTTTGCATGCCGTAGCGGTTAGCTCATTAGCCACGCGTCCTGGAAAGGATGGGGCGAAAGGAAAAACGGAAAGGGAGCGGGGGGGTACAGGGATTCGGGGGGGCGCGTTCCACACCAAATTCGTCGGAGCGGCAAACCTAGGCAGAACGGGAATGGGCTGTCGGGAGGCGTTTCCAGTCTTCCACATTGGATGGGTCGTCGTCTTTCCGGACCAGGTGATTCTGATAGCCAGTGGAAGAAAAAGCCTGTGCGGCCGGAATATGCTAGAAAAGAAAATTCCCATATGCATACGAACTTGTTTCGCCAACGAATCGCCACGATCTCAGCGTCGCGAAACCAATGCGTGCTTGCCCCACTCCTCCCGTAACCCTACGTTTAGCGACCGGGTGGGATGCCGGAAACTGAAGGGCAGCATGAATGTGCAACTCTGCCTGCTACCCGCTTTGACCTATAGGTGTAACGAAGAGTCACTTTTTGCCCAGCTAAAAAAGCACCTGCCACGCGGAAGTGTTGTGCTAGCGATTTCCACTGAATTACAAGGCGTACCAGCAGCCGATCGCCGCCCCAAACGTAGGGTTGGTGATTTCGCACATGAAGCCCATCACCAAAACTTAGGCCCGCCCTGGCAAGGCGTGACTATGATCTCGCGCCAGTTCGGTCTCAAAGTCAGACTGTGGATGCCGGTGGTCGTTTCCGGCTTGGGCGCTTGGACGCCGACCGCCGAAGATCCCGCTTGGTTCGACATTTGCGCCCAATACGAAAACGGACTTCCACAAAACACTTCCCAGGTTCTAAATACCGGTTTCGCCCATGCTTCACCCGAGGGCATCAGTTTCGACCGCCCACTGAATCGTGCGGGTGCTGTTACCTCCGCTTCACCACTACGGAGTGGATCCCCGTTCAAAGCAGGTGGTTGTTTGAAACCAACCAAAAAAAGCGGAGCCGCAAAAACACAATAAAAATAGATGAAAATCGAACACTCGCACGGCGTAACAAGGGAATCAATCAGTGAAAAATGGTACGGAACAAAACCACGCAAGTCCGTTTCATACAACAAGAGGCTCACGACAGACAGCCCGTCAGCTAAACTCAGGGCCTGAAGTACGTTCCAGAGACAGGGAACAGAGATGGGGTTGGATCTTCCGTCGAGGGTGTAAATCATTGGTGTAAAAAGCGGTTCTACATGGCGAGTGTTCAAATTGGAAAAAACAAGACTAAAACGTAGGAAGAAAACATAATCGGAAAGTCAACGTTCCAGTTGGTGGCTCCAAAGGTTGGTTCGGTTGGCGACTTCACAACCTCCTCAATCAGAATCTCGACACAGCGTTGAGCGAGGAAGATTGTCTCACATGTCTCGCTTAACACGGCGTGACAAAGAAGGGGATACAAATACTTTCTATTCGCATGCACGAACAGGGACAAGGAGGAACAGCGAACTCCTTCTCGCCCTAAGGAAAGACAAGGGCCTGCACCGCAGAGAAAAGAAGAAAACAAAATGTGCCCTACCTTGTGGGTGACCCCGGCAGTTGTGTCCATGATAAATGGCCATTTACACACACCCCACGTTTTCACTCGTTACCAAGTTCGAACAAAAACAAACCGGTTCATCTCCATCCCGGATCGACTTATGAATACAACAATCCCACCAGTGAACGAAATAAAAAAGATGACTATATGGGAAGATCACAAGCAATTAGCATAGCACAGTTTGACTTGTTCGTAATTTTCATTGTTACCTCCGCCCCGAGAGAAGCCACGGCGTTGGTCGCGAACGAGAGGAGAAAGAAGGCCGGCAGTACCGACAGGTCCAGGCCACCGATCGTCAGGTTAAGCCTGCGACGGAAAACAGAAGGTGGTGGTGATTGGACGGCGTAGCTGTTGTCATCCTATGACCTCGCAACCCGACAATACCGGGACGGAGCGGTATGCCGGGGTTTCGCCGGCGCAGGCGACGTTTCACAAGGATAGACCGGAAGCTGGTAATGCGATGGGGGGGGGGGGTGTACTCATAGTCGTGCATGCCGTTAGACCATTGACCTCGCATCCCTACAAAGCCGGGACGGAGCACGCCGGGTTCTCATGCGATGGGGGGGGGGTTGACCAAAACTTTCACTCCTACGGTTACCGAAGAGGTGTGGTGCGCGCTCTGAAGGACGCCACTAGACATCAACGTGTCCCGGAGCGCACAAGGATGTGTGTGGGAGTCGGCATTACCGGTTGTCCTTAGGGCCATAGGACCTATTCCAATCCTCTACGGTGGTGGTCCCGATATACTGCGGCCCCGAGCAGTGCGGGTCCTGATACAGCGCAGAAACGTCTTTATGGGATTTTGCTTGTACCATACTAGAATCTGTATTCCCAAAACACTCAATAGTGCGGTGTCCCGATATGCAGTACCGCGGTTGTTTCGTTTCGCCACTACATGGCGGTATATCGGGACCACCACTGTGCCACACAGGGGCGACGGGGCAGGCCGGGTTACCGCCCGGCGGACCGGTTGGCACAACGTGGATCGCCCCCTGAGGGCGACTCGTGCTGCTGAGGTGTTTGAAAGAGGGCGAGGCGCGCCACAAATCCCAGTCACCCATGACGAGGCAGACTTAGACACACGCGTGCCCCACAATCATTCTTGCGCGCACTTGTGTGCCACAAGCAAGCAAGCCTATCGCAACGGGCGATCACCGAGACCTGTCCCACCGCCCACCGTTCGCCAGAAATCTTCTCCCACGGAGGCTACCACAGCGCTCGCCGTGATCTGAAGCAATCAGTACGTATTATATATCATGGGCGTGAATGGTCCAGGTCGTTACTTCCACAGAAAATAGCGAGAGGAGGAAGCGGTGAATCCTTGGAAAATACTTTGTCGTCGAAACTCGTCTAAATCCAGTTCCTTGTTGCCGTGCAATTTTGCGCCCATGGTTTGGCTTACAGTATTTGGGAAAACAAATACACATTAGACTCCCCGAAGCCACTGCACGCAAAGGCAGAGAGCAGTTACGGGGGACGAAGAAAACAAAAGGCAATACAACCATCGTACCTTCGGAATGCGTTGAGGTAGGGGTCGGTGAGAAGGTACACCGGCTCCAAGGCTTGCACACCTTGAAGCTACGAGATACCAAGAAGTTGATATTTACGCAAGTGCCGGGAAGACATGGACGGGAGAGTCAACAGCGAGAGGAGATAGATGCTAACGGAGGTACAAAGCGGGCAACGGCCGAGCCACGGGAGGAGATACATCGGGAGGGTGGGGAGCTAAGAACGTGAGGCTCACATGAGCGATCAATTCTAGAAATTGGCCACAAGCAGGCGCTCAGTCAAGTAGCCTAAAAACCTACTTGGGCACTGTCGGGGTACTCAACAGCGAAACAAAGAACCGAGCCTCAGCCCGAGCGAAAAGCTTCCAAGCGCGAGCACTAACAGTAGTGCCGGCGCTCGGTTAGACCACAGACCACATTCGTCTGGACCTTGCTCCAAGGTATCAAAACCCAAACCGTGAGAAACCGAGGACGACTTTGCGAGCACTGTTAAGAACCCAACACTAAAACCAAATCTATAGCGGCCATTTTTCCGCACAAGCCTCCATAGGAATACAGAATCCCAGCCTCCGTCGAAACTAGAGGTTTTTAAGCGCGGGCGCTTGCTGTACACATCGACAACAACAAAAAATAAACATGAGTGAAACGCTAATCTGTGGATCGATAAGGACTTGATTGGACCCTGAAGAACAACCAGATTAGCAATAGAACCCCAACAGAACCCCCTAGAACACGATGGAACCCAATAGAACACGATAAAACCAAATAGATCACCCTAAAACACCAAAACACCTGCGGCACCCAGGAGAGCAGGACACGGCCGGTGATGAGCAGGTTGTAGATGCTGAGGAAGTTGAGCACCCCTCCGACGACCACTTCGCTGGTGAAAGAGTCTCCAGGGAGGGCGGCCGCCACGCAGCTGTACCGGCCCTGCACCGGGCTGATGTGAGGTTGCGCTTTCTGATGGGCATGGTGTTGGGGGGGGGGGGGGGAGGGGA